ATTGCCTGGTCGCCCCCAATGTCATGCCGCCTCGCCACATCGCAGCTTGACTCGTGTGACGGCAGACGAACGATGGGACGGGACACTACGAGCGAGTGCCTGACCGAAAGGGCCATGTGAGTTCGAGCCGGGGGCGTAAAAGACAATATCGCGAAGCGGCCCGTCATCGCTCGGGTATGTTCCCGCACCACGCAACGCTGAGGAGCCGCCGGTCAACGCACGACGCTGGCCTAATCCGGGGCCGCCGCCGGTACCGCCGAGAGGCCGCCACAAAGGGACCTGGTTTAAGCTGGCCGTAGCTGCCCGCCGCCAGACCTGCCGGTCGCTGGGATGTCCGAACGCCGCACCTGCAAGCTGGGTCATGACCGCTCGGGAGAGCGAAAATACCAGAGCTAAGATGAACTCTGTCCATACCGGCCTTTATTAAGTTAAGATTAGTTATAAGTTAATTATAAGTTTGTTGATATTCTGGGTTTCACCCGCACCGATTTCAAAAGTGATTAAAGTAGTATTAGGAAAATGCCTAAGTCTTTCTCTTTAGTAGTTAGGCAAGTTAGGGCAGTTCATGCCTCCCTCTAGGGAGTCTGCCGACTAAGCAGCCGGGCAAAGCTGAATCACCGAAGGAATCAGGTAATCGGGTGAGTCGGTGGTTACAATACATACGAATATACGGAGTAATATAAGTAGTACAAGAACAGATATATTACTGTTATGTAACTGTTATATTACTGTACGGTTATGTAATGCTGTGAAGATTGGATTTTCATATTTCACTGGAAATGGATGTTTAAATGTCTTGTGATAAATATTTTTTGTTTATTTCAAATGCCCGTCCTTTTACACGCCGTTTTTTCCGTGTGTCTAAGAAAAACATTAGTGCCTAAACCATTTGTAGAGTTTGTAGGATTTTGGCTAAAATGAACATTTCTTGACCGATTTGGCCCTATTGAAGATCCTGCAATTTTTAAAAGATTTTTTTCTGAATATTCGGATTACTTTGTAGGAATAGTGCAAAATTTACTGTTGAACATGACTTCGACACTTTGTTGTATGTTTTTTTAAATCATAAAAATATAATTTTTTATACATTTTCACGTTGTTAATATTTACGTATACTATGAGCGTTTTTATTCATTACTGCAATTATGAGTGCAAGTTTGACAAACGCAAAATGATTCATGATGAACACTAAAAATTATTATAGCGAAAATGCGCTGAAACTTGCGCATTTGCAGAAACGCTCATACGACGTTATTTTCAGAAACCGTTCCAAATATTTCAATGATAATTTGCACATCTAACAAATTTTTATTCCTCTATAATTTTCTGAAAGTCGTCTTAAATTAAACTCTTAATGGAGTAAAATTATAAGAAAATGTTATGAAAAAAATAAACATCGTTACATAACTGCTGGAAAGACGTTGGAAAAAAGCTTAACTTGAATAAACGAATATTAGAGAGCGAAGTAGTACGACAAAGTTCCATTCTTCAAAGCACTACTACTTGATCTCTGTATTTCACAAAAGGAAAAAGCAAAATCCTCATAACAAGTAAATCTGTAGGATAGCTTCTTTTCATCTGAGAGAGTTTTTTTCAAAAAATGTATTCTACTGACAGTGTCCTTATGACACTAAATAAAACTAGAGTCTGCAATTTCATTTTGAAAGTAATTTGAAATAAAGTATATGTAATAAAGAAGTAATTGAATAACGGAATAATAATAAAGGAATAAATGAAGTAATTTGAAATAAAGAGTATATGACACATTTTCAAAAAAAAAATAAATCATTTCCCGTAATCAAATACTGCGAATAGCTGTTGATTGATTGTTAAGTGTTTTCGGGAGCATTCACTAAAATGTAAGTGTGGCCTGCGCTATATGTTGGGAAGTGGTAGTACTTCGCCCCTACTTGAACGACGTTCAGCTACACTTCGACTTGAAGAGATTCCCCTTCCAGGAATCTCCCACCACAGCAAAGCCCCCAGCCGGCGCGTTTTTTTATTTGATTTAGAGGAGCATTTTACCACCTTATACGCGAGTACTCTTTACATTTGTTGTATGAAGTACTCATGGATAGCGTCAATTCTGCGATTACAACATATTTCCGACCCACATGTAAATCATCTGTCTTTTGCATTAACCGAGATCACATAATTCGCTAGTCAGTGGACGGCATTTTATCGACGAATGACAGAAAATCTAATTACAAAACAATTAAATGAGATCAAATGAACACTCGCGTGGCAATCGCTGGCGAGCTGTTTGAGACAAGTGAACGTTTTTCCAGCAGAGCGTCACTGGTGATGAGACTTGGGTGTTCCCTCACGATCCACTGACGAAACTCCAATCATCGGTGTGGCACACACCATCGTCTCCAAGACCAAACCAATCTCTCCTCGTCAGATCCAAAATCAAAGTGAGGATCATTGCGTTCTTTGCCATCGATGGTTCGGTGCACCATGAGTATGTAACGCCTGGGCAGTTTGTTACTGGCAATTTCCATTTGCAAGTTTTGCAGAGGTTTCGCGAAGCGGTTCGAAGGAAGCGACAGGACAAGTAGCGAGGACAGTAGTCTCTGCATAACTCGCATCAAGCCACACATCGCTTGCAATGCAGAAATTTCACGCCGAGAAGAACACTACAGTAGTTCCTCAATACCCGTACTGTCCAGATCTCGCCCCCCAGTGAGTTTGGATGTTCCCTACTCTGAAAATGGGCCTCAAAGGGAGACGTTTTGCAACTTTGGAGGACATCAAATCGATTGCGGTAGCTCGTCTCGCAACACGTTCGAAACCTACTACCGCTACCTACACTACCGCTGCTTCCAACAATGGAAGAATGAAATTGCAAGATAGGGTGTGTGCGCGCCAGGGTCCTTTGGAGGTGATTAGGTAAACATTGCCATAGACCATAACATTATCTTGCTGAACCACCATTCCGAGAACTTTTTGAACGCCTTTTGCACGCACACACACACACACACACAC